CCGCGCCGCCGCACCAGGCTGCAGCAGCGCCCCCCTCCCCGAGGGACTCTGAGTGCTAAACATAATGTTAACATGTTGACTCTTCTTGCTTGGCCTTCTGGCAGGTGCCGGGATACAAGTTCAACTGCTTGGCAGGCGAGCCGACTGCCAGGGTGGTGTTACGTGGTGTTTCAGCAGCTGTTTCGACGAGCCCTCCCACCTGAAGGGAACGGCTTTGAGTTGTGTTTTGCCAGTATGAAACCAGCAGCAAAATTTCAAGATTTTGGACCAAGCAAGCCGATCAAGCAAGCAACTTAGTCGTGCGCGACGGATAACGCCGAAAGGCGGGAAGCGCCTGAAAAGCCGGCCGCGATTGGAATTGGTTGGACAGGAGTTGTCACGAAGCATAGCTCTGAAAAGCGTAGGGTTGTGTTACTTCGAGTGGCTACTTGAAGCAAAGAGCGATGACGGCAGTCTCAAGCAATACCCCAAAACCTTCGTGATTCAGAGGGTGGCTGCTCCAAGCAAAAAGCCCACATCCCAGATGATCAACGTATGTCAATGTGTAATTACCAATCTTGGCGGGCTAGCGGCTAGTTGGCTCGGTGCGCACAATCTTCGAGAAGCACATGCAGTGCATATCGATGCAAAATTGCACAACGCACATGGGCGGTCGTCAAAATTTTAAATCCCTTTTGGGGTACCCTACATACTAGGTGCCGTATTCTAATCGGGATCCAAAAAGGGACCATCATGTATGACAACCACCCATGAAGCACACAAGCACATGAGAGAGGCGGCTTTCCGCGCAGCTGGTCCCTCTCGAAGAGGGCCTGGTGCTGCAACCACGAGAGTCTTGGATGCTCCGATGCCAGGAGCTGCTCGGCGGATGGCACGGGGTCTGTGCAGGTTTAGGGTTTAGGGTTTAGGGTTTAGGGTTTAAGGATTAGGGTTTAGGGTTTAGGGTTTAGGGTTTGTTTCGAATATTGAAGGCTCGAAATGTTTCCCCTGAATACATCAGTGCATCATCGGGTCGGAGGCAGGAGCTCAGGGGCTGTTGAAGTGGGCAACAACTGGGCAGCATGAAGATACACATGAGCGTGACTTCGAGAGGTTACGACTGCCGGCCCGGTGCTGGTGGCGTTGCTCGGGCGGCAAAAGCACAGCTCACGCTACAGATGATTCGGGATGTTCCCCCTTATACTAACAGCCCTGAATCGGGATGATAATAAGGGGTGCTATAATCCCAATTAAGGACTGTTTGTGGAAGGGGGGACATTCCAACAGAGGATGCAATATGATTCTGAATTCGTTCCAGAGAATTCAATGTGCTCATGTCGAGTGTGCAGTATGTCTAAGGCCTGGCCGCGGGCCAAGGCGCAGTGGTGCTGCGAGCACAAGAATGTGGGTTGTGGCTCATTGCCTCCGCGCTACGACTGCACGGAAGACGTGGCACATTGGGAGGCGCACCTTTTCACTGTCATGGACGCAAACACTCCCACAGTTGTGCCCAGAGGACTGGCCGCATGGGAAGCGAGAGTATTGCCGGATGCTCGACGGGCTATGCCGGAATCTCTGCCGCCTGCCATGACTGCCATGACTGCCATGTCCCCAGGTTGTGACTCTGTGAAAGTTGGCTGCCCAAAGCCGATTCAGCCCTGGATTGCACAACTGCTGACGCCCTCGGCGCAGCACGACTTCCAGGGTCAGGCACTGGGGGCATCATGCATGTCACATGTCCTGAACTATTTACTTGTTTGTGGGGCCTGTTGGCTCAGCATGGCACAGTCGTGTTGGTAACCTTTGCCATGATTATCGTCTGTAAATTGAAAACGCTTGCGCGCGCCGCCTCGGCAGCCGGGCCGGCCCCAGGACAGGAAAGGAGGAAAGAGGGTTTTTGAGAAAGGCCTCAGCAAGGGGGGTCCCAGGGAAGGCTAGAGGGTTAGGGGGGTTCCAGAGGGGGGTCCCAGGCCCAGGGGGGGTCCGAGCCCAGCATGGGTTTGCAGCTCCTCCAAGCGATGGGGGGGCTGCGTCACAAAATTTGGAATGGGGGGAAGCGTTGGGTTAGGGGGAAGGAGACCGGATCCGTGTCTGCTTGTTCCAAACGCTTCTCGGCAGGAAGCCGAGGCGGAATCGATGGACGACACACGTTACTTCACAGGCTCGTGCAGTGTGCAGAGACAGATAGCGGGGTTTAGGGTTTAGGGTTTCAGGTTTAGAGGGTTTGGGGTTTCGGACCTTGAGCATCACGTCAGGCTGTGAGAAGAAGGTCGCGGCATCCAAAGTACGATTGCGCGTGTTGCCTGCCTGTTGCCTCGGCTTTTGCATCGCGAAGCTGATGCGCAAGCAGTGCCAATCCCATTCGCCAGGGCAGGCCTCAAACATTGGCAGGACATGCGACTCTCCAGTGTGAGAGAGCAGTTGTAGCAGTGTCTTGGAAGATCGCGCAGAGGTCAAGTCTGGAAGTTTTTTGAGGACGGCTGGTCACCAGACAAAGCGAGCTGGTGCTGCAGACAACCCAGAGTTATGTGGCATTTTGACGGTGGCACGATGTGGCATAGCGTAATTCGGCACATCAATTCGGCACTCAAAAAGCGCCCAGGCACGTACCAGGGCTACGGCTGCCCGTTCCACTGCCAGGGATCCGCACAGCAGCAGGCGGATTGGAGTCCTGAGAGAGCCGAGCCGCTTCCTGAGCTGATGCTGAGGGTTTAGGGTTTAGGGTTTAGGGTTTAGGGTTTAGGGTTTAGGGTTTAGGGTTTAGGGTTTAGGGTTTAGGGGTGCCGTTGTTTGAAGATGGGATTGCTGAGGTGGTGCTGCAAGCAACACGACATTGCTTGCCGATACATGGCCAAGTACGAGGTCAACGGCTTCGAGCTTGCTGCCTTGAGCGACCGAGGTGCAGTGGGACAGAGAAGTTTGCTTTGTCATGTTGGGATCAGTTTGGAGTGTTGGAATCTGGGAGCAATGCTGACAGGCTTCTGGCCCTTCCTTGCCGCTGCCGGTCTGTCTGTAACACTTGTGGCATTGGCGGCGGTGGTGCGCATGCGCGCAGCGAAGCATCAATGCGGGGAGGCAGCCGGGTTCGGGTGTGGAGCTTGACAGTGTACGCATACAGTGGGATCCCGAATGGCTTCAGCTGGCGCGGGGTGAGATGTTCATAAAGTTGACACCGCTTCCACTGCAGATCTTGAGAAATCAGGGCACCACCCCAACAATGCAGTGGAGGCGACAGGGTGAGGCTGAACCCAATGTTGAAAACAGATAAAGGAGAAAAGTTCTAGGCCAGAGGGATAGCAGTACAGCCTGCGATTGCAGCTGTTTGCAGCTTGCTTCAAGTCCGCTTACAAGAGCATCTCGGACAGACGGCATGGGCTTACATGTGCCATCAGGTTCTGAGCATGAGTGACGTAGAGTTTTGCGAGTGAGTGCAAAGCAGAGATGCTTCCGTTTGGAAAATGTGTCTTTGTGGTCTCACCCTGTAGGAATTCCTTGAGGTGCTGGAGAGCCCCAAATCTTTCCTAGACATACATGGGGGTTTAAGAAAACAGCACCCTGAATATAGACCCCCAAATAGTAGGATCCCCTTATAGTAAGGACCCCAATAAGGTGCCTCTAATATCGTAAACCCCCACATGTCAACAAGCTTCTAAACCGTTTGAACTCTACAAGGCCCTACGCCCCTCCACTTAAGCCCTCCGCTCTGCAGCACTCCGGCAAAGTCCCGGCAAAGTTCTCAAGTAGGGCTAATGAATATGGTATCACCCAGCTGGCATTTGAGGCGCTGATCTGTTAGGGTTTAGGGTTTATGGTATCTGTTCACGGCCTAGGGGGTTGCCCGCGGTGCACAGCCCTACATTGCATTGCCTCCTGCCTCAACTGTCCGCAGCCAAAGTTGCTGACAAGACAAGTGCTGGAGATCTAAACTCTGCCACTGCTGCTCCGCTGCTTGCGTGAGATTCCATGGTTCCCTGACCTTGCTGACCCAGGTTGCCCCCGTTGCTGCATGTCAAACATCCTCCACGGATGTTTAGGCTGTTAACGCTCGCAGCTGAATACTAGGGTTCTTCTTAACCCTAGTTTCGAACCCTAAACCCTACACCCTACACCCTAAACCCTCCACCCTAAACCCTCAACCCTAAACCCCAAACCCCAAACCCTCAACCCTAAACCCTAAACCCTAAACCCTACAGAGTCTAGAGTCTACAGTCCTCGGTCACTGAACCTTCTTAACCTTCGGACCGAACCTCCTCAGTGCTGCACCTGGGCCCAGACAAGAATGGGCCACCCAGTGAAGTGGGGGTTTACGAAAGTCGGGGGGAGCCCTAGAGTAGACCCACATGGTAGGGGTTGAGGGTTGAGGGTTGAGGGTTGAGGGTTGAGGGTTGAGGGTTGAGGGTTGAAGGTTTAGGGTTGAGGGTTTAGGGTTTAGGGTTTAGGGTGAAAATCGGGGAACCCTGGAGTAGACCCAGATACCAGGGATTCCCTTACAACAAGGACCCCAACAAGGTGCGAGTAGACCCAGATCGTAGGGATTCCCTGAAAAAGAAGGACCCCAACAAGGTGCCCCTAATTTCAGAGGCCCACAAGATGCAAAAGGCGCAAAAGGCAGTTGCAAGGTGCATCTGAAAAGCGCCTGCCGAAGACTCCAATGGTTTTACCTCCGGGCCACCTTGGCACAGTTTGAGCTGCTTGGAATGGAAGCAGAACTTTCCCATGTCAAGGTGGATGTGGACATTCTTTACCAGATGCTGCGGGAAACCGTGAGCGCGTGACGCCGGGTGCAGAAATAGAAATCGAAGTCCTGGAGCAGCTGCCGTGGCATTGGGCTGTTAGAACTTTGCAGCTTGCAGGAAGAAAAGGCGTGATGCACGGAGTGAAGTGGTGAATGTGCCGATTCCTTTCTGGTCATTGGCTTGGCCCCCCCCCCCCCCCCCCGGATCCCCTCGGGAAGAGCAGCGGGCAGCGGGCAGTAGGCTTACAGGGGCAAGTTAACCGGCAGAGGCGGCCAAAAACCGCAGGTTGGCTCGGCTCCTGGAGACGGAGTTGGCATCCGATGTGGAGGCGTTTGGTGCTGAACTAAGAGTTGAGGTGGCGAATGTTGGCGCTCTTGGAGCTGTTAGGGGAGCTGTCGTGGGCTCGACTCAGTCTGCAGGCCTTTGTAAGAGCAAGTTGCATCTGTGGGGGTCAATGCGGAGTGTATGAGCTGGCTGTCCTACTGGAAGGTACGATAAGGGAGTTTCCGACATTAGGTGCCTTATTGGGTCCTGATTATAAGGGAATCCTACCATTAGGGAGTCTATGTTGGGGGTCCCCTACTTTCGCGAACCCCCACATCATCCATTCCAAGCATCACATTCATGGCTTCTTGGTTGCTACACGCGCATCCTGGTCTCATCCTGCGAGCAGCGTATGTCGCGCAAAATGTCATGTGGCAGCTTCATGCAGCTTCGCAAGCTCCGCCTCAAAGCAAGGCTGCAAGGACTTACAGCTCAGGTTAGCCAGTGATAGTTTTTTTGATAAATCAGTTGTAGTGCATGAGTCAGTTTTCAGCCCCGCCTCCGCTTGGCCATGAAGTTGATTGACGTGCTGACCTCGCTCCGAGGATCAGGCATTGAGCAAGCAAGAGATGATTCTTGGGATGTTCCCCCTTATACTAACAGTCCTTAATATGGATTCTAATAGGGGGTACTAGAATCCCTATTTAGGGCTGTTGTTTGTATAAGGGGGAACATCCCAAGATGTGTCTGCAAAGCCGGGCCACCTCTCATCGTCCGCCCGTCAGGCTGCCGTCAGAACCAGCCACTGACTTCTTTTCAAGGCTGCGCGCTCAAATCAGAGGGCACTCAGGGGTCAGTGGAAAAGGCAGGATAAGACTCCTTACCTCTGGGCGACTGCTGGATTCTTCCGGCTCACGTGGCTTGGAAATTTCACGATATTCATCTGCAGCTCTGCGCTTGTCGTTGTTTGAATCCTTGTTGCATAGTTGTTGCCTTGACCAGCTCTTGGGAATCCTTTCGCTGGCGCTGGCGGCGCGGGAGCCGGTGGCTTCGATGATGGCGCAGGCGCAGAGAGTGCGAGTCAAAGAGCCGCGACAGCCACAGCGGAAGTCGTGGAATCTAGCAGCAGTCATTTGCAGTCCCCTGTGACCTCTGACCCCCAAGGAAAGAAATCCGAAACCCTAAACCCTAAACCGAAACCCTAGACCCTAAACCCTAACCCTAAACCCAAAACCCCAAAACCCTACATTGATCGGAGGAGGCGGAGGCGGCGAGTGGTGGCAGGACGAGTCGGGCAACTGGCACTTCGGAGGTGCTCACGACATCGCCTTGTTCCTGTCCCATGTGTTGGGATTTAGGGTTTAGGGTTGAGATGTTCTCCCCCGTATACTAAGAGTCCTTATTATTATAGTACCCCCTATGAGAATTCCGATTGAGGACCGATCGTATAAGGGGCCACGTCCCTTTCAGGTGAGGCGGAGCACTGGTGGCGCGATGAGCATCATCAATGGCACAGAGGCCATGTGGGTCTTTTCCAGTTTGAAAGAGCCGGCGTGCAGGCTGTGCACTACTACTACTACTACTACTACTACTACTACTACTACTACTACTCCTACTGCTACTGCTACTGCTGCTACTGCTACTACTGCTACTACTACTACTACTACTACTACTACTGCTACTACTGCTACTACTGCTACTACTGCTACTACTGCTACTACTGCTACTACTGCTACTACTGCTACTACTGCTACTACTGCTACTACTGCTACTACTGCTACTACTGCTACTGCTACCACTACCACCACTACTTCCACTACTTCCACCACTACTTCCACCACTACTACCACTACTACCACTACTACCACTACTACCACTACTACCACTACTACCACTACTACCACTACTACCACTACTACCACTACTACCACTACTACCACTACTACCACTACTACCACTACTACCACTACTACCACTACTACCACTACTACCACTACTACCACTACTACCACTGCTACCTACGACTGTGCCCTAGCGCAACCATGGAGGTGGTGAAAGCCAGCTCTGGCGTCAGGATGAGGCCGGCAACTGGCAGCGAGCTCGGTCCGCCCGCGGCGCATGCCGGCGAAATGCTGAGTCCGTGCGAATCAGGCACGAAGTCCAGGAAGACTTCCCCAAAGAATCAGAGGACGGATTTTCCACTCAGAGGTGCTGGGGGTGTAAGTTGAGCACGGCTTACCGTACGGCCACTATATATATTTTTTCACATATATGTATGTATACATTTGCTGCCTCAACGTGCCCTAGAACAAAGTAGATGTTGTTCATCCCAAACCATCTCTTCTTTCGAGTATAGAGATGGTTTTCCGGACGGGGCCGATCCAAGAACTCAACTCTTTTAAGTGGCCGGGCATACTGGAAGAGAACAAAGGACGCTACCTGGGACAACCGACGTGCCAAATACTCATTCTGACTTAGAGGGCACTTTGCACTTATAGGGAATGGTGAGTTCAGGTATTGAGTGAATAGAACTTGTAGCATTCGACTCCTACCAATCATTTTTCAACAGTGTCCACAGCTTTGAAAAGTAATTAACTGAACCGACCTGATTAACATCATTGGAGGTCAACTAGAATTCTTAATTGAACGAGACGGCACGAGTTCAAGGCCCGGGAATATTGGAAGAGCATGGAGGACAGCTTTGCATGCTTTTTGTAGGCCTAAATCTACGGTTAAAAAACTACATGGCTGGTCAATAGCGGGGTCTTTGCTCTGACTTTTCACTCATGTCCTCACGCTCCCTTGAAGGCCCTTCCGTTTTATCTTCTTTTGTTGAGCTTTTAAGGGGACCACTGTGAGGATATGATCGTTAGGGAGAGCCAGAAGACAGCGACCACACGAATCACATGCACACTAGAAGACCACTAACAGGAGAAGACAAAGGGAAAAGTGCGCATTGCCTACGTTCTGCCTTTACTGGTATTGTTGTTCCCGCGCTGTTATAATATTTTTTGCGCAGTGACTCAGTGGTTCCCTGTATCGTAGCTTTTGTGGGGCTCTTAATGGTGCTCTTTTCTTTCTCGTGGGAGTATTGAAGAAAAGAATTGTATGCGCCCGCGCATAGAATAATACACTTTTGCGGGCGATTTTATTGCGCGCCGTCATAAACCCTTTATCATTATGAGATAGAAGTATATTCGTATTGTTACGCTCACTCGTTCCGTTCATGTCATGCTTTACATTATTCGTATAAGCAGGGTGTGCACGAAGAGAATTCTTGCAAGCCCCTGTGATTTTGTGAGTGAGCCGCAAAAACCCTCATGAATGAAGTGAATTGTATGAACGAGTAAACGAATCATCCAAGAAGCCCGGGATGTGAGAACGTATGATTGTAAGAACAAAAACGTAACAAGAACTGTTCCTTGAATCCTAAAGAGGCTTTTGGGGGGGTCTTTTACGGGCTAACGAACAATTAAAGGGTCAATTAATATTACTATGAGAAGAGTGTTTCGTCTCATTCTTGAATGACAAAAACTTTGGGGCTATCCGCGTACAATGAAGTGTGACATTCCCCAAGTTTAACATGTAAACCATTGATTATGACGATCATACCTGGAGACTTGGAGGTCAACTATGACTCAGAATCAACTATGCTGTTTAGCTTCGTCGTCTTCTGAAGGGAATCCTCCCCGCGGGTTTGTGTTTTGTTTTAGTTTTTTGTTTATTGTTTTTGTTTTTTGTTGTTCTTCAGTTTTTTAGGGTTTGGGATTTCGGGTTGAGGGTGGGTTCCCAGAGATTTCTCTGTTTGCAAGATGCGAAGATGCAGACGCGAGTTACCGGCGTGGATACATGGCGGGGCCTAGCAGTTGTTTGTGTGTTTATTTACTTTCTAAATGGCATACATACATCTATATATGTACGCATATCTGTATGTGTATATATATATATATACACATATCACCATACCATCATGTGGGCGATGTTTCACCGATGACCACGGCCGCACCTCGGCGCTCTCAGGACGAGCTGATGATGACTGGTCCAGAGTCTGATATGGGCGAGCCGCAGCAGGACATCAAAGAGCCGGGTGCCTGAGACACATGTGACGCATTTTTGGGGGGTGCTTCGCCCTGATACTAACAGCTCCTTAGTAGGGATTCTAGTAGCCCCTCTAGTAATCCCTGTTAAGGACTGTTAGTATAAGGGGGAACATCCTAAATGACGCTTCGAGCATGAGAAGCCCGAGTGAACAAGGCACGGGAAAGGAGAGAGAGCTAGAGAGGGGAACTGGATCGACCTTCTCACTCCTCACAAACCCAGCCAGGGTCAGAGGACCTCTCAAGGACCACACGATTATCCTGAATTTGCGGGGTCAGGGTGAGTTGGTGAGCTTGGCAGGGCAAGGGGAGAAAAGGTTGCGGTTGCGGGGGAAGTTTCGCGAACCTGGGTTTCTTGGGGGAAGTTTGTTCTTGCTCAAGCGGGCCCCCACACACCCTCCCCTTAAGGCACATGTTGCAAAGTGCTGGTGCAGAAAGTGGGCACATACAATCGGCATGACGTTCTCAAAAGCGAGCTGGGGTTGTAAAAGAATCCCGCAAGACGAGAAAGGAATGCGACCGAGTAGCGTTTAGCTTGTAATCCATAAGGAGAAAACGTAAAGAACGATAACGTTTTGCAGGGTTTTGTTGTGGCTGTGCTTTGCTATGCTTTGCAACGCATTGTAGGGGCTTTGGCCCGGATTCAAAGTACGAGCTCAAACCATCAAGATTCGGTCGTTGCTTTAGGTCAAAAACGATAGCAAAACGATGACCAGAACGATAGCATTTTGTTGACGATGGGGTCTGTCGAAGGACCTGGACCATTCCAGGGTCGAAGTTGTGTGCACCAGTTAGTACACAAACACTGTAAGGCTAGGCGGGCAGAATGCTTAGATGCCGATGGCAGAGAGTTATAGGTAAAGGCTTTGTATCTATATGTATGTATATATATATATATATGGTCACCCCCCCCCCCCCCCCCCCCCCCCCCCCCCCCCCCCCCACGACAGACCCCGGAATTGTATGT